CGTGTTTGTATTTTGTGAATGTGTTCTCAAGGGGGCTTCTTGGTCTAAAAAAAGAGAAACTGAATTTTGTAGACAGTAGTTACAGAATTATTCAACTACATTAAGACATTTTAAAACTTAACCTTGTTCCTGAGCAACAGCCCTGTTATTCTCAACACCAATAGGAACACTTTTCAGCTTGAGTATAATGTACTGATGATGCAGTTAAATATGATAAAACACGATTCAAGTATTTCGGTTTTGTGAGCACTAGAAAGCTCAGGCGGAAATTTCAAAAGTCTGTACTCATTAAACTAAAACTATCGCTTAAGTGAGATTCCACTGGTAATACATACAAATGATATTTTGTGTGAGCTGACCCTTTAACAGGCCAGTTTCTCGGATGGCTGCAGGTATTGTGGGATCGCTGCCTCCAGAGTTTCGTCACTGAAGTCTTTGCTGTCAGTGTTTACTTAGTGTCGGACAAACCACAGTCAAGAAATCAGGATGTCTGCCACCGATGGCATAGAAACCTCCTCATGAAGACAGGGTTGCCATGGGGACTGCTGCCAAGCGGGGGCCCAAACGGTCCTCTGAGAGAGAGAGAGAGAGAGAGAGAGAGAGAGACCCTGCACATCGAGACAGGTCATTCATAAGCAGGGACAAAGAGAAGGAAACAACAAGACCAGCTTGGACCATTTACAGCCTGCCAGACACACATGCATGCACGCACACATAGACACATAAAACAGTATCATACACACGGGAGGAAAACATATATTACAGCCAGTCTCACAGCAAGTCAAAAGTTGAAAGAGTTAATTTGCTTGCTTTGTGGCACAATAAATCTTGGAACACCAGAGCGACTCTACAAGCCGCAGCAAATGAGAAGGGGAAAAAAAGTCAAAAAAACAAGTGGGAATACTGTGACAGAGAGATGATTTATAGGTTTAATGATAGTGCACATTATTTATTCTAGATCTCCTTCCCCTCTAACAATTCTTTCTTCTCAATCTGAGCTACCGTTCCCTAAGCATCAAGCAATCAACAAACAGAAAACACAGCATCCCTCCAACACAAACACGACACAGGCAGCGAGGCATCAGCACATAGTCGGTGCCGCTCTTTTATCTCCAGTCAAAGCCATAGAAAGAACGTAATCCCTCGCGTATGCCTGCCATCCACACATTAGCACACAGAGATGTAATTATAGTGTTACTCTGTGTGTGTTTGTGTCTAATTAGTGTTATTTATATTTTCCCTCTTTTTCCTCTCTCTCGACTGTGTTGAATGTGTGCGTGTGTGTGTGTGCATACTGTTTATGCATGTGTGTCACTAAGCCTGTGTGTTTGTGTATATCAGAATACTCGTCGTCAAGCATTAACACAGAAAGAAAGATCTTGGAGAAAGATGAGACACATCCCGACTCCGATTCCTTGCCAAGGTTTCCTTGGCTCCCCCGTAGTGCAGGTACTACCACACCCTTCCCTTCCCTTCCTCATCCTCCCCCTTGAAACCCCCCAGTGAGATACACAAGGGAAAACCTCTCCTAACCGTCCCCTCACCCCACCACGTCATACTTGCAACGTTAGCCATTAATGCAAGCGACACCCCTTCAAACGAGCCAGTGTTGTTGGTGGCATTTGTTTGTGGCAGCAACAAGCAACAGTGTAATCAAAAACCGCAAAATACCCCTTTACCCACTCCTCCCACAACCCCCCATCCTGAGCCCAAACCAGATGGTACCCCCCCCGGGGGCAAGCTATCAGGCTAACTGCTCTGCACTCCTCCAACTCCGCTCACCTATTCCTCTGTTTTCCCTCCATGCCGCACTCCTTCCTTCCTCCTGCTCTCCCACTGCGAAAAGGCGCTAATTACAGACGTGGATGAGTAGATTACAGATCTGAAGTGCAGTGGAAGTGGAATGAGGAGAAGTGGGTGCAGGGGTGGTGGGCTGAGAAGGGGCAACAGGTCTTTAACAGTGATGAATGCAACTCTAGTTTTCACTGTTATTGTTCGCTGGTGTTCTGTGCAGCGGCTCTCACCTCTGCGTCGACGTTCCCATGCCTTCTCGTCAGTGCAATCCATCACAGGCGGCTTTAACTAACTCTAACTATCTCTAATCATCTGGAATCAGTTCCAATTATCTCTGCTCTGCCCCTCATGCATCAGTGTCTCTTGTATCTCTCAGGCATGGCAAGAGAAGAGGGGGTGTAGATAAAGAACTAAGCTCTGGAAATAGAATGCAGAACAAGCTGCACAATGAAAAATAGACTGTGTCGCCATCCATTGTTGAACAAACAAACTAAGGTTACGTTTCTGTGGTATAACTGCAAAGATGCATTTTAAAAAGGAACTTTTCAAACTGACGTTGTTCCCTTTTTTCATTAGTATAGCAGAACCTGGAAAAAAGCTATTTTTCTAAATCTTGCATGACTTCTCCATCGTCCTTTAGTAGTGAAACTCATTCCTGACTGCTAGGAAGTCAGTATTTAAAAACTCTCTTCAAGGTTCAAGCTTCTGCAGAAGTACTGCAAAGCTTTAAAATAATGTTTGACGTGTTATTTTCTGTCAGTAGATTTAACCATTTTTCTAAATCATGCATTAACTCTCCATCTTCCCTTTGTAGTAAAACTCATTACCCAGTTAGCTTAATTACTGCATGGGGGTCAAGTGTTTAAAGCTCCCCACAAAAAACAGCTGCTCATTTAACTGACAGTCTTTTATTAACCTAACTAGCTTTTCCCCAAAAGTTTTTAATGAGAGCTGCGATCTCGTCTGCGAGCCCTCCTTCTTCTACCCCAGACGTTTGCCTGTCTGTTTGTCCCCTCAGCAGGGGTCCAAAGACAAATAGCCACATTGTTGTACAAGCCTTTACCCCAAACCCTCACTCTAGAGTAAGCAAAAGGAAAGAAAAAGAGGGGAGTAGAAGAGATGGAGAGGAAGAGTGTAAAAGGTCAAGAAAAGAGGAAAGAGGGGCAATTAATCCTGTTTGCAAGAGAACAGAAACCATCTGGGTTAGTGTCCCACCTGAGGGCAGCAGGCTTTCACATTAACCTCTCTTGTTAGAATCATAAAGACGGACCCTAACAAGGCCCGGTGAGCACTTAGAGCAAGTGTAAAAACACACACACACACAAATATAGATATACAACCATGGACTCTCTCTCTCTCTCAGTCATCTCTGACACACACATACACTCAAACGCAGGCATGAAAAAGCGGCAAAAGACTTCCCCTGGGAGCCGAGAACCTTTTAAGTCCATTAAAAGCTGCTGGCGGGAGCGAGACAGGGCTGTAACCTAACCGCATAAGATTGGAACCAGGAACCACGGTGTGGCCCAGACACACCACTCAGGAGTTAAGAAACACATCAGGAAAAGCCTTTGTCTTCTACTTCCCAGAATACTAGGCCTGACTCTTAACAAACAGTAGAGGTCTTTCATAAATGGAAACTGTCACTCAAAAACAATCACCATAAAGATTGCATTATTTTTGATTCCACTGTGCTGGATCGTACATTTATTTTAACAACTAAAAAATGTTCAGCACTTCCACACCTTAAAGGCTTCAAGGTCTATTATGGTTCCTTTTAATCCAGCCAAGGATGAAGAACAAATGAGTGTATACACAGGCACATAGCGAATCGATTAAGCTACGTTAAACAAAGTCTCATTCTCCAGAACGGGGTTGAAAAGCCAGCGTTGGGTTTAGAATAATGAGCGTGAAGTTAGATTGGATGAAACAGGGGAGCTGTGTTAGCACAATCCTCTGGCTGTTGGCAGAGCCCCTCTGCTCCAGATGGACTAATCACGCTTGTTCAAGGCCATCCGCTGGTCGGGAAGAAGGCCTCTGCCTGCTCTGTGTCTGCTCCAGCTCGACAGACAACTCAGTGCTGCTCAGTGTTAGCAAGCCACAAGTAGGCTGACTGTGCCCCCCCCAAAGGATGAGCCTTTTCCCCTTAAGCCCTACAGGTTGGTGTTGGTCTAATGAAAGGTGACATGAGGAGATAGTTGCAGGGAAGTGACAGATAGATTCAAGATGGTGTTGAACATCAAACGCAAGATAAACAGATGGAGTACTGAGGTTAGGATCATGGGTTAGTAGCACCATGATTTGGATGAAGGAAGGGAAATGATTTTTCCATGTCCCACTGTTTCATTATTCCCAGATGCTTTAGGTAATCTGAACTGGAATACTGGAAGCTGAAAGGATCAGCGAGCAACAGGGACACTGATTATCTCAAAGAGAGTAAAAAAACATTGAGCCTTGTTGCAGATGGGAATAAAAGTTTAGCATTACTGTGGGATTGTCTCACTGCATGGGGCTTTTGAGTGTCAGGATGTGTGGGTGTGTGATGGAGATTGGCTTTAACAAGTGGAAACCCAGTGCAAACTGTGATGACACATTTTATTCATACATCGAGGTATACGATTCCATTGGCAGAGAGCTTTGCAGACTTCTCCTGTGACATAAAACGACCTCATTAAGTAACACAGACATCATTTCACCTTGAACAGAGTTCAAAGTCTCGTTCAGTGTTCCTTATTTCAAGTCCCAGTGTCACACCAACTCTGTCACCACTGGATTCTCTCGCAGACGGGCAAGCACAGAGGAACAGCAGATGACTTTGCATGAAGGCCAAATTATGTGCAAAGAACTTGGATTTCCACTCATGCAGTTCAATTTGTCTTAAAGACAGTAAGCACAATGGAGATCACAGGGAACACTTCACAATCTTGATCTAATAAGACAGTGTTAATGAGACCTGATGGCAATCCAGCGAGTGCAATCGGAGCTTAATTGTTCTTTAACAGTGTTTAAAGCCAACCAAACCCAAGCCAACATTCATCACACATATTGAAACCATGTTTTGCAATTCATTGTTGTGGTACACAAGAAACCTCAGCAACATTGTTGGCTTGCATATTAAAGAAAAGACAAAGGGAGAGTGCGTGTGCACAGACAGAGGAGAAAAATTGAGCGTGAGCACAAGTGAAATAAAAAGTGAAATTACTTACAGTCGAGACAGGCCAGGGTTCTTCTGAAACAGCAACTCAGGAAGCTGCTGCAGTTGATTACGGTTCAGCCGCCTGCGGCAGGGAAAACATACGATCAACCAGTGACTTTGTGTTTGTGTGTCTGTGCATGTGTGCCCTTGTGTAGGCTGTGAATAATTCTGCTTGCTGCCGAAGAATCGGCTTAGCCACAGGCTATTGTGTTTCAGTGTGCACTGAATGTCACATAAATATCCAACCGAAAGTCCAGGGGAATTAAACTATAGTCAGAGACAGCGCCGTAAATTATCTCTGCCTGGTCCTCTGCTTAGTTTCCCAGAGTAAGGGGGCCGCAACATTCCCATTTAAATAAGTGAATTACATCCACTAGTTATATGAACATGAACACATTTTATCAGGGGTTATATATCCAAACAAGATGTTTCTGAATACAATTAAGAGAAAAGGATGAGCCAAAGGAAGCATTGACCAAGAAGGTTGGTTGGCAACAGAGTCCATGTCAAACAACTTTCATCTAACACTTGCAGGCTTTATGCAAATACAACAATTTAGTCAACGAGGAACAGACTGTGGCTAATCTGTTGGAAACCACAACTCTCCTCTCCCTTGAATGGAGGCTCATGGGAGTGAAAGCAACGGCTGTGGCACAGTGAAGCTGCAAATCTGAAAGGCAGGTCTGATGTCGTTACTTTAGACACATTCAGACAGATGTTGGGACCTGAGCCACTCACTGTATACACTGAAAAGAGTGCTTGGCCATCTGAGGTGGAGATTTAGTGTGCTTTTGGTATTAATGGCCTGCTGCCTCTCTGTTCACACTGACTGAAATGTACCTGCTGGTGGGTTAGAGGCTTTTGAACATTAGAGCAACGAGCCGCCTAATTTCCACATTGGTCTGGCACATGGACACATCTACCCAATGTTTGGATCTGTGCATGGTCTCGAGGTTTGGTAATGTAAATTGTTAATGTGGGTTTCAGATCAGGGGGAAAGTCTTTCATAAATTAACCACAGTGTGTGCATGACGGCGAGTGTTAAAAAGTCATCTGCTGTGCAGGTTTTTCGTGTGGGGGACACTATTGATTTGCTAATGAGTTGGTTTGAGGTGTGGTTGACTGTGTTTGTCTGTGTGTTTTCCCAGCCAGTTTACAAGCTGTCAAGAGTCCTGGTGCTGTCCAGATGAGCCAGGGTCTGTGGTGGGGGAGTCATCTTAAGCCCCCACATCCCACTGAGGGCATTCCTGTCAGGCTAAGTTAATAAAAAAATACTCCCAGCCCACACTATACCCTCTTAGTACAAACCCAACCACAATGCAATGACAAGGAAGGGCCTCATACTTAATACACCGCTTAAAATCAGTTCCTCCTGTTAGTCTCATTAAACTGAACTAATACAAGGACTGAATCAGATCAGTGGGAGAGTGGGATTTTCATTTGAAGTTTAAAAAAAGACGTAAAAATGTGTGGTTCCTGTCAGCCTATCTGCAGACACCCCTGGGTGGTACTCACAGCCTCTCCAGCTCCTTCATGTCATCAAAAGCTCCTCGCTCGATCACAGTGATCTGATTCTCCATCAGCTGCCTGCGGAAAGAGGACAGAGAGAAAGAGAGCCTTAGAAACTACATGACACATGTGGCTTTGACATTTTTACGAGTCTGCGGACGGTCACTCAAGCTTTAACAAAGTATAGGGGCCTTTGGGGGTTTTGGTGGCGAGACTTCTATATACAGCAAGTACATTCAAGCTGGGTGCAGTATATTCAGCACCTTTTTCTCTCTCTGACACACATACACACACACACACACACACACAGGGCAGTGGTGTGGACCGGGGGCATAGTGTGGAATCTTGGCAGAAGAAGCAGAAATAGCAGCCAGGAAAGTTTCTAAGGTGGCTCACAAAGTGTGGGTCCAGGCTCTGGTGTGGTCCTCTGGGTGTAGCGGCTGGGTGGAGACCAGACGAAAGGTAGGAAGAGGGTCAGAAAGTGCGAGAGGGGAAACCGAGGTGGGCTCAAATGTTTTAATGATTGGCACAATCAAGGGAAAGTAGCCTGTGTGTGCGTGCGTGTGTGTGCATGGTTGGACAGTATCAAAGTTACAGGCAGTACATCAAGGCTGTTGGTCATACGCAAACAAACATGGATGCACACAAACACACAGCACAAGCACACAAGCTTTCCTCACCTACATTGCCAAAGCTAACGCTCAGAAAAAGGGTCTTCGATGGTTTTGGAAGTGTTACAATAACACGAGGCCAGGAGGGAGAGAAAAGCGTCCAGCAGCTTTAGAAGCAACAAGAGCCTTCCTTCATTACGTATACAACTGTTCTGTGTTGAAGGCAACCTCTCATGTCTCCTGTGAGGCCGCGCTGCGCTGCAACTCAGCAGTCTGGGCTTCCTTCCCCATCGAATATAAATGCTAATCACTGCTCGCACTCCATAAACATAAGAGAGAATAGTGCAATTCACCTCCGATCTCTTTCTCATGAATTTAGATGGATTTGGGGAAAAATTATGATGGGTACTTTTGGATTCAGATAACTTTTTTTTTGTAGAGACAGTCTAAGGGCATGCAGCCTCCAATTTCTTTGATTTTTTTTCTGAGTTCCCTCCTCACAAATACACATCACTGATTTCAACGAGCCCAGCACCCAGTGCCAGACGTCTGGAGGTAAATCAGCTGTGTTGATTCTAGCCTGACAGGATAGATGGCAGCTGACTGTAAAGATAAACCTCCGTTCCTGTTTGGCTCCTTCTGGGGGTTGCCTAGGGGTCAGCGAGATCAGAGGTCAACCCACTGTTTGTCTTATTACTGCTGAGGTCGCCCTCCAGGACACAGAGACAAGATTTCCTAGTTGCACATGCAGACATGCCAAGTACCTACATTATGTTAATCATGCGTCATGTATACGGTCGGCTGGCATTTCAATAAGTGAGCTGTGTGTGTTTGCATGTGTGTGTTAAGAGTAGCACAGCGGTGGCTGGGGAGGATATCAGAGGCTTTCCAGCAAGGGAAGTTCTGTCTTTAGTACCCCATGTAAGGAGTTGTTTCCTTCTTACTTGCCTGTGACAAGCTGCCGACATGAAGGCATTTAACCTCCATGTGGGGGTAGGCGGTGGTGCAGCAGCAAAAGAAGGCATGCGTAAGAGTGACGAGAGGGGACAAGAAGGAGTGGAAACATGCAAGCTGAAGTTCAATATAGAGGGGAAGACAGGGACTAGGCTTGAAAAATAGTCTGGCTTTTCTGGGAAATAGGAATTATGTGCAGCTCGTGTTACATCTAAAACATGTTCACGTCTACACAACTTCCCTTCTGGCAGTATTTTAACAACCATACTCACAAATGCGTACACACGTATAGACACTTTTACAGCTACTTTAATACCTGGAGTCACAAGTGTGTTTTAATTTCAACACACAGGGAGTCAATGACTTCTACTGAATGTGTTAACAGTGTTGAGAGCTGATTTAGGCGCTGGTGCTTTGTGTACACATTACATGTTGATGTGTGGGTACAAAGGGCAAGTGAGTGTGTGTGTGTCTAAGGGACAAAATATGCTACTACAACAGAGAGAAAACAGTGAAAGAGTGGTCCATTACTTCACTAGCTGCAGTAGCTTAATGTACTCTGGAGTAGGACTCTCGACAGAAGTCTTTCCACTTCAATGGGTTTATGCTAATTTGAGCAGAAAGTCAGTGCAGCCTGTGAGTTGCAGGGTTAGGTAAAGCTCAGGTATGCATGCATGGATAGATGGACTCATATTGTCTCTTTACGCATAAGAACATTTCATCGACATACAAACATGAAGGTAAGTACTTACAGAACTCGGATGAACTTGAGTCCAGCGAAGTCACTCTTGGTGATGCGTGTGAGGTTATTCCCATTCAGCTCCCTGCAAGGACAGACACGCAAACATGTATGAATAATTAATCTTTATTCTCCCTCTGAACCTGTTCAGCCTGGTGACTCAAGGAGCAGACAGAGACATGGAGGAATCTCAGTCTACTGATACCACAGTCAAAACTGGAGCTTTGCAACACACACACACACACACACACCTGCAAACCATAGCCTTCATTCACACATGGTCTGCACAGCACCCTAATCTGTTTGCTTTAGCATGCTACTGCTGTGATATATGCTTAGAATGTCCTTAATTGCTGCTAGTTTTGTGAAACTGCAAATTGCTTTAGATGAGATGTGAAATGTAACACACAGTATATTAATGGGTAAATCAGAAAGTCTGTGTTCAAGGGAAGTTCACGCTCAGGTTTTACTCCACTGGGAGAAATTAAGAAGTCCTATTTAAATGGAAGCCACATTGGAGCTGCTTGTTTGTCTTTCTATTCCAGCCCTCTCCCACCGACACCCACAACCCCCCTCCTCACTCTGTCTGCCCTGTCCTCCTACTATTGGTGAGGATTAGCAGGAGCCAGCGGAGGGGATTTGGGTAGGGCCACAAGGCCAGAAAGCTAAGTGCTGGGGATATAATAGGAGCAGCCTCCCTGCTGGGAGCTGGCCATCACTGCTAAAGAAGGGATGGACAAAATAGTTGAAAGGAGAGTATGGCTGACATTTAGTATTTCTGTAGTGTTTTGCGTTTCAGAATTAATTGTAGCATGCTTAAGTCCTGCTAGAGATTTTATCCTTTGCTGCTGCAGAGGACTGTGCAAGATTTATATTTACCTCTGTATTCTCATGACAGAGAGCAAAGGAAGCAGACAAAGCACGCAAACATCTCTCTGTGCTACTGCAGTTTCAAAGCATTACTGGTCCACCCTACCCTGACCCCCACCCAAAGCACAACCAAAAGAAATGGCTTCATATCCAAGCCGAGAGCGCTGGTCTCTCTCCCTCAGTCACTCTCTCCTTCTCTGGTCTAATGACCACTCCAGGGACTGTAGCGCTATGCAGTAAGGAAGAGAATGGTCATTATAGACAGATGGTTATGTGTGTATGTGTGTGTGTGTGTGTGTGTGTGTGCGTGTGTGTACACAGGTGCATTGAGAGGCCAAGCGACAGGGCCACGGGAAATAAATAATGGCCAAGGCTTCATTAGGCTGGGCCCCGACGCACACACACATGCGGTACTCATTACAGGTGCTTACGCAGATAGGCACACATACATACACCCACACACCCTTCTGGATTCACAACGTCTTATCTTCAGGGTGGTCATTGCTGATGACACCCGGAGGACATAAAAAGGAATAAGATCGAGGCGGAGAAAGAAGAGAGACGGTTAAAGTGAGGGGTGGAAATATGAGGAAGAATGACTCACACATAAACAAGGGAAACTGCACTTTTCTCCTCCAGCAATAAAGTCTTCCTTTATCCATTAATAAGTGACATGCCATAGTTTCTGCGTGTTAAAAGCAGTTACGCAACAACTTCTTAAAGTGTTTCGTAAGTTTTGATGACTGATCTAAATTTACTGTTCCTTGAAATGTCTTCAGACGATGCTGCATTATCCTCCTGAAAGTGCCCATCTTTAAAACCATATTGCCCATGCACCTGCTCAGAAATGCTGTGACATTTACACTGAAATGCCACCAGCCGCCTATGATGCTTCAACTAGTCAAGAGTCACACTGTTGATGACATATTCTGACCTTTCCCATTGGCATTTTGCAACTCAAACCAAGCAATGTTTTGAAGTGCTTGAATTGCCCAGGTGAAGATCGGTTCTTGAAATCGCTCAGGTAATAATGTTCGCTCTGCGGCTCATCTGCTACAAAGGTCTATGACTCACGCATGCAGACATGACCTTCTGCAGTTACTCATATACTGAGCTGTTAAGAGCACTGGTGAATTGGGTGCCCAAGCATTGCACTTTACATTAAAAGAGAAATGTAGACAATTTGCTTTATGATAAGAGCATGTGGTCCTTATATAGGGATGCAGCTTCTGGTATTTGACCCGTCTGATGATGTCTGCTAACCCAAGGGAGGATTCTGTCTCTGCAGAAAGTCATCAAGTTACTCCCGTCTGTGTCTTTCTCTGGTTGATAGAAAGAAGCTGGGATTCACATCAACTTGAGCCAGGGAAGATTTTTTTTGTCATTTGCACACCCATGCACACAGCAGTGGTAAACATGTGGTCAGTTAAGTGCAGTGGTACATTTTGCATGGAGGAACATATGTTGTTGGTAAGTACACATCTTAAACCAGAAGAAAAAGGCTTAGGAAAGATACAGTCTTGAGTATAGGTGTTCTGATACAAATGTTCTTTCCAATTCACAGTTTATTATACCTAGACAGACTCGAGCATTAGCTGGTACAGAGAACCTCTGATACTAAAAATAAAGAATACATTGATAGATACGGACTGATTGCTGACATTTAGCTGGCTTTCAGTAACATAACGCTCTCTTTTATCACAATGCAGTTGTATTCATTTTCAGTCTGTTGGGGCACTGAATATTAAGACATACTGTATATGGTATCAGGCCCCTATGGACGAGATTTTTGAATGTGGTCGTGCGATTCTATCTCATTCTGACAAACCTCTTTATTTCTGTTTATATCTGTAGTCTCTTCCTGATATTTAATTACCCTTGGCCTTTACCTCACCCAAATTGTATTTAGTTCAAATTATCCTAAGTGAAATCAGATGGGTGCCCTTTAATATTAACTCACTGCTGTCCAAAAACAAAACTAAAGAATTTCTAAAAATGAAAAAATAACTATATGGTATTAGTGCCTCCAAGAAAAATCTGTTTTTTAGCTACAATATGAGTCGTGAACATTACTTTGCTTTACAATCAAAGGAAGCTGAGCAACGACTTGTGGCGCAACAGCAAAGGTTTGTTTAATCCTTTCATAGAGAAATGTTTTGTACTGATTGAGGTGGATTTCAATCATACAGTACTGCAGTATAATACAATTATTAGGTCTCATTCGTCGTTCTGACGGCAAAGTATTTCTACTGCCGACTGCTTCAATCACGTCCATTCCATCCTCTGGAAACTCAGCAAGGATTTCCACTTCATACAAACTTCCTGAAGTGGAAGTGGATTTATAACATCACTATCTAAACCCTCTTCATCTTCCATCCCTATTTCATTGATGCCTGTAAGTACTTCCTGGTGCACCTTCCCTCGGGTGACCATGAGGCAGCTATTCTCCAGCGCTCCACATTTCTGTAATTCAAAGGGGGGTCACAGCGCTGCTACAATGCTGAAAAACTCATTATGTTTAGTTCTGCCAGCTGCCTGGGTTCCTTTGCTGAGGTGGACCTGGTTCGTATTGAGCAACGCTATAAACCTCAGGACTGGAGGGAGGATAAGCAAACACACTGGCTCGCCAAGGCCTGCGTACAGATACAAATCCACATGTGCTTTACACATATATACAAAGACCATATTGAGTTACTGTATCAAGTAACACATACAAGCACACCTACTGGGATGTAACCACAAAACATTATTGGAGAAGGCAATTTTTGTTCTGTTGGTCTCTGGCCTGAGCTAAATAACATAATGATCACAAAAGAAACTACTGATGGCTGTACAGCCTGTCACCAACCTTATCGATTTATGCAGAAAAACAGCAGAACTGAATTAAATATGGACACAGAGGGAAAGTTTGGAAGTTATATTAAGGGCAGCTAAAATGTTGCCACACTCTGTATTCTTGCCTCAGAGGAGCAACACACTTTTTCTGCTTCAAAAAACTTTGTCCCAATGCTCTGGATGGACGTGGCTCACTAAGGTGGGTCACTGTTGGTACGAGGCCGGCCTGAGTTCAATAGTTTTATGCTGCAGCCATAATAAAACAACTGGCAATGCAACACTTACTCACAGGCTGTGGCAAAAAAAAAGTAGGCCAAGCTGACATGTAGCAAAGTTTGAAGGCTTTCTAAATAGGAAAATAAGCTAACAACAGCATTTCACAATCTGACAGCAGCATACTTTTTAATGACTCCAAATTCTTTATTCTCGATTCCTATTTTTTCCGCTCATGGCCATGCTGTGCCTACATTATCATTATCACATCCTGCTTATATTTACAGCGTAGAAAACTGTTACCGCATCCAAGGAGGTGTTCATTAATAAGAATTAATTGAAAACATGGAGGCCGCCATACATGTTTGGTGGAGAAATTGCTTAGTACAAGCTCATAGCGCGCTTTCGCTCAGTAATTAACAAGATAACAAGATTCAGAACATTTCTTGTTGTAAACAAAACTGTACGAGAAGACCGCCTACTGTAACGCTCTCATTTGTGTTCACTTGTCAGCACTTTTTTATTTTTATTTTTTATATTCAGGTCTAATTACAGATTTATAGGTTCTTGCTTTAAATTACACATGTATTTTTATCCCTGCACGGGTTATGTACATTTCTTGTATAAATCTATTTTTAATTGCACAGTTTAAGTTTGTTTCATCTAGGGGTATTCTTTAAATCTTTTTCAGGTTAATATATATGTATGTATGGGAGGAGGGGGGGGGCGTCGGTTTTGCAGTTTAATTTGTAACAAATGTTTCATGTCATATACGTCTTTGTAACCTGCAACTGGATGCTTTGAATTTCCCTCGGGATCAATAAAGTATCTATCTATCTTTGGATGGTATTCACTATACATTTATAATACTAATTTAATAAAGGCTACCCTCGTATGGCTATGTCCGTCTCCACCGTCGTACAACAAACCCAGACCGACAAATGTCACACATTACTTTACTGTTGTAAACAATATCACTCCGCCAATCTCATCTGTCAATCAAAGTTAAGGCAAAGTGCAACCTGTTAAATAGTCCTCTTACCTGAGGAACAATATGCAATGTTAATAAATATTTTAATCATAAATCACATTTGGAAATTATGTCAACCTGAGAAAAATACAGATTTTCAAAACAAAGTAAAACTCTAAATTATCTTCGTCATACAC